GGCACTCAACCACCATGCTGGAATCCGCGGCGATTCGCGGGTCGATCAAAAAAAATGCAGACTGCTTTGGTGACTCCACACACACTGTAGCTTGAGTCTAGGTTTCTGGTACTTGATGAGCTCGTGCGAAAGTGGACCCCGCCGCTGCCTTGGCAATGCCCACTTCGCTTGATCCATCCCGTCCTGAATGAATGGTCAAGACAAGCAGAAATATGTCATGGATGAGAACGAACGAACCTCAGTTTCTCCAACACTGTCACTGTAACTAGGTTCGATACCATATGGATGGCGATAGCTCCATCTTTCACCGGCGACAATCCCTGCCACAGGGATGCAGCAGCCACGGGCTTAGGGCCGAAAGGGCTATTATTGTGCATCACTCCGCCCAAACCGCATTGATTTAACTGCCAGGCTGGAGCCTGGCAATATTCTTCCCAGGAGCGGTCTCTGCCCACACTGGAAAGATGATCCCTGTACTCTTTGGCCAGTGCAAACTTCTCCAGGGGCGCCTCGGACTCACACAAAAAAGCATGTTAGCTCCATAGCAGCAAAATGAAAGGAACGCAGTGCATGTAAGGGGCAGCGCAAGTCCGCATCGCATCTTTGAAATCTGTGCACTGGGTGCATGCTGCATGGGATGATTCGCCCATGAATCTCAGAGTATTTCTCCACTTTGTATCGTACCTGTCCCAGAACTGTCTGTACCTTGCGTGGGTGTATGCACGTTTCGGCCGCCCATACTCTGTTGTAGATTTGCCCTCTGGACCCAAGACTAGGTACAAATAGAATCAGAATCATGACAGCGGTTTGATAATCATGGCAGACGAAACACGAAACGTTGCTCGCAGGGCCGCCAAACTGATACCATAACATTGTGATGTTGCCAGGAGCCAGCCATCTGGTGGGAAGGTTCGATATCTCGCGGCCATGTGAAGTCTCTATGTACCTCAGACTGAAAACGATATGTTTCAAAGACTTGTAGGGGAAGGGGGCATACCTGACTCATAATTCTAATCATGTTTATGGTTGTAAGCTGTAGGCATGTTGCTTTGTGTACATGCTTTTGTCACCAAGAACGAACAGCTTCAGTTCCTCATCGTCCTCCAAACTCTCGGCTGCTTGTTGGAATTCGTCGCTGGAATCCACATCGTCGTCGGGGCCTGGGGCCGAAGGCTTGCAAGACGTAACTGACAACTAGGACCCTCCCAGAATGCTGCCGGGCCACGCTCGTCTTCAGGGTCATGTGCACTGGTGCCCATTTGCACAGTAACACACGGAATCCTTGACTTTGATGCTGAATCTGATGATGTGCCTCGTTTGCGAGCTGCTCTCTGGAACCTGAGGGGAAAGGCATCAACTTGAAGTTTGTAATCTGGCAGGCTGGATCCTACTCACCTCAAGGTCAAGGCACTTGTCAGGCAGCATGCTACCAGATTTGATGTACTGTTCCATGAGAAAAGCATCGACCAAAGCAGATTTGGGTCCATAGCGGGCAGGTGCCTGCAACGGATGCAGCCAAGCACAAAATATTTTTTGGTTACTACAATGCTTGCAGTTGAGATACATAGCTCGCGAACCTTTTATCCACTTGTCCAGCAGCAAGCTCTTTCAATCGATGACGGCCGATTCCAAGCAGGCAAGTCAAGCACCGGACGGTCATTCGATGTTCCAGAAACCGCCAAACAGTGTTGGAACCAGGTCGATGCTCACGCGTCACTTGCATCAACTCGGGGGCAGGTTGAAGGGCATCAGGTCAGGTGTCGCACAAAATCATTACCACAGGAACAGACCAAGCTTGAACTTAACTAGTCGATGTGAAACCGGCTATCGACTGATTGCAGATAACTCTGCAAAGGTGCGAAGGCGTCTTGTTGTGTTTTCGTCATCTTCCAAAAAGCGGTCACGTACTCTATCACTTGGTTGCTGATGCTCCGAAATTGGGAGAAACATAAGCGAGATTCGCAGTGGCATGCTTTGCTGGCCAACAATGCAGAGATTCGGCTGGCGTCAAGCCCATTGTCCCGGAACCTTCGTGGTTAATTTTAGGGAAATCAGAATAATCAGAAGTCTAAGTGTGTGCTATCCCTTGGTTTCCACAAAGTTAAAGACTATTCTACAGAATCAGAAGCTTTGATTCGGCCTCGAAATGAAATCGGACTGGTTGCTGATTCTTCTCCTGGTTCTCTGCCTTCTCCACGGCTGCAGCAGCACGTTTCCGGTTGTCGTAGTTTGGACGGAGTCGTTTCTTTGGGGGTTTTGCTTCAGGTGCTGCTTGTGCAACGGTCGCTTGAAAACTCGACAACTCCTGCCAGCTGAAATGCACCTCCGCTGTGCCGACCGCCCCGTCCCTGCTCTCTGATGCTTCTGATTCTGGGGGACGAAGCAGGCTGGCAAAGAAGCGCCTACGCATTTCACATGACTCCGACTGTGAATCTGCCGCCGCTTGCCCGTGCCCGGATGAAACCAAAGACCGATAAAACCTCAGCTCAGCTATGACCCTTCCCGTGCTTGCAAAAAGGCAATGAATTCTGCACTGCAACATGCAGCCGGGATTCTGCACTCTGCTTTCCTTTGAACATGTCATTGCTCTGTCTCCCGCGCATCATGTCATGACAACAATGTCGCAATGCTTCGATGGCTGATTCGTCGTGTCAAGCTCGGTGACGACAGTTGCTTTCGATATTCCTACAACTTCGCCTGAGCTTCGAGTGCGAGTGCCCTTAAAACTGACTTACATTGTAGCGGATTTCTTCTACTTAACAGTGATGATGGATAAACCATGAATGAAATCAACCACATCGTACACTGAGCAGTGGCACACATTCAAGTCTCAAACTGTGCTGCGCAACTACAATGGCCAATGGCAAAGTAAAGCCTTGAATCTGAAAAGTGGTTACAGCAGCACCTTAAACCCTTAAACCCTGAAAACGCGAAGTTGAAGCCTTAAACCCTGCCCTAAAACCCTGAACCCCAAAGCCAGCTAAGCCTTCAAACCCTGTGCCTCGTAACCTCGCACCCTCCGAACCCTACCTGAAACCCTTAAAGCTCACACAGCCGCAGGGCCTTGAAGACCTGGCGGTCACACGCCTTGACCTTGGCACCGGTGACGTTTCTGGCTGTAGAGGGTTGGGGTTAAGGTCAACAATAAGGTATTATTCTAGATAGCTATCTATGGACTGTCTATGTATCTATCTATCTATGTGTCTATCTATCTATCTATCTATCTATCTAGGCCTATTACTATGTGGCCCGGCGCAACTTAACTTAGCTCGGTCGGCAGCATGCTTTCTGCTCGGGTCGGCAGCATGCTTTCTGCTCGGTAAGCCGGCTCCCACGAGCCTTTCGCGAACTCCCCTTTCCGAAACGACGACTCCCACCCCTACCTTAGCGATCTCCCAAACCCTCTAAGACAACTCCCGGCCCTCAGAGACAACTCCCCCCCACACACACACACAGTCACACACTTGAATGTCCCGACAGAGCCCCGAAAGACCCCAACATCTTGAGCCACCCCAAAGACCCGAAACGAAGCTAGTTAAATTTTGGTGAGCTTCTACCGCTTACAACGAGAAGGCTCAGATACATCTCAACGTTATGCTGTTCGACAAACGTGTGGCTCCTCCTAGTACTGCTTTGGAAAGCCTGTGCGTCGCTGCTCCAAGGCCGCTGCATTTTGCTCCGAAGAAGGCTGTGCATCAGCCTCGGCGAAGCTGCAGAGTTCGCTCTCTACTGGCGGATGGGTTTAGGGGGCAGTAAACTAAAAGGTGGCGAAGCAAGCCGTGGCTGTCGAACCGAATTGAAAAGCATCATGTCGAAGAATCACTTCCGCTCGGGGTCGCACCGTCAATTGGCTTCATCGTGGGCCCGGGTCTAGCCTTGGAACCAGCTCACTTCCGGTTCAGATTCAATTCGGAGGTTTTGGAGGGTGTGAGGTTCGGCTGCTTAGGGTGTAGGGCGATCAATTGGCAGTCTGGTCTGCTAGGATCTCGAAACTTCAAGGTCTGAGGCTTTCTGGGCTTCTGTCTTTCAGATGACGAACTGAATCCCCCAAGTCTGAACCCCATCACCTAACTTTCAAATCAAAAGCCTGACTCCGAGCTGCTCCATCTGAGCGACGGACTCCACCGGGCAGTTCGGGGGCCCGGCAAGGCATCTTGCCGAGCTCCGATGCTCGGAGCAGGAAGCACAGACTCTGGGGCTTGGTTTCGCTCGCTGATTGCGATTATTTAGTCTGCTTGGGTTTAGGGTTATTGGGAACACACCCTGCGCCAGGAATTCGAGCAACACCAAATTTCAACTTCGACAACTTGTTTTCAAAACGATTTCGATTGTAAATCTCGTTCCTGTTTTCATTGCAGAATGATTCTGATCCGTGCTAATCGTTTCTAACATTCAAAACAACATGGCTCAAAACTTTTTTCCCGACGAAAGACTGCCGTCTGCACTTGGACTTAGCACCGGATGCAACGGTTTGTACATCTCAACGTGGTAGCTGGAGCAGTATTTGTTTGTGCGCGATGCACTGGTTTGTACATCTCAACGTGGTAGCTGAGCGGCCGGAATGGATGCTCAAGTGGTGTGCTTGACACCAACTTTTCAGACCCAAACCCAACCAAATCAGACCCAAATGCAACCAAATCTTCTTCAGGCCTAAGGCGGTCCTTTGGGTAGCTACCTGGGTATGACATCAATCAGCAAGCACTCCGCCCGACTGCAACAGTCGCCAAAGGAAAACTCCCGAAACCCCAAACCCTGAACCCTAAACCCTGAACCCTAAACCCTAAACCCTAAACCCTGAACCCTAAACCCTAAACCCGATAACCCCAAACCCGATAACCCCCAGAGCTGCCAAGCGCCTGAGCCCTAAACCCCGAGACCCCTAAAGCCCCAACGCACAAGCCTCCAAACCCTAAACACGAAAATCTAAACTCTACATCTTGAAGCCTATGCTCCATACCCTAAACCCTAAACCCCAAACCCTAAACCCCAAACCCTCAACTTTAACTTTGAGAGCAGAGGCGCCACATCTTCCTCTCCTCGAGGTCGACGGCTACACCAACGACCTGCCGTCCGCCTGGGCTGCGGGCGCTGGGGTTCGGACTTGAAGTGTTTAGGGTTTGTTTTGGGGGGCGGTGGGGGGGCGGGGGCCTCTTTTCCATCCGCCCATGGAAATCAAACATGCAGGGTTTAGGGTTTGGGGCAGGGCTTACAATTTAGCCTCTATATATGATTAAAACTTCAGCGGCGATAGGAGTAAATAGTAACATTGATAGTAATGAAGATGCCAGTTTGTTGCTCACATCATTGTTGTCACTAGATGCTATTGTCATTGACGGCAAACGATCACAATAATACTAGAGTGACAAACCATAGCAAGAACAAAGGTAAGATAACTATGTCAACAGCAGAAATTATGGTAAGCCTCCAACCCATTGTAGCAGAGCAGTAGATAGCACCCCCAATATAATTCCAAAGGCTAACCCGTGTATTCGGATGTTTTTGAACTCACTCAACTCTCCAGGAAAACTCCTACGCCGTACATTCTGCAACCTCAACCTTAAAGCCCTGTGCCTCACCACTTGCAACCTAAACGGAGCAGTACTCTTCAAACGATCATCGCTACCAGCACTTACTGTATCTGGGTTGAGTCTTGGGGCTCTCAAAAGTATTTAGGCAGATTAACAAGTCTCCCAAATTGCCACCTAGGTATTCAGCCAAGGCGCCGTAGTCGCCGGCCAAGGGTGCTCCGGACCAGCAGCGAGCCTGTCCTTTGTGCCTCGGAGTGACCGGGTTGTTCCAAGGTTCGGGAGGTCTGTCTCTTGGGACCTAGACCCTACACCGTAAGTCCTTAGCCCTAACCCCTACAGAAAGGGTTAGGAATTCCCTATACCATTCTAGGTGCCTGAAGGGTATCGGGTTTAGGATTTGGGGTTTTGGGGTAACGATGGGGCTAAGTCTTTAGTGTTGAGAGTTTAGGGTGTGTTTCTTTTGCCCTTTTCAAAACGAGTGCGGGTTCGTGTCTGTCTCCTGCTCTGTCTTATCGCGGCGTCATGAATCTTAAGACCTTAAGAAGATGCTCTGCCAATTGGGATAGCTTTAAGGCTCCTTGCTGCACTAACTTAAGGTTCACATGGTTCCGCGGAAACAGAGAAGCCCCGAGCTTGAATTGCACATATCGGGTCCAAGGTTTCGGCTTTAGGGCGTTAATTAAGAATTTAGGGTTTAGGGGTGTAGGGTTTTGTGGTATTGGGGCTCGGCGCACAGGTGTGAATCTGCTCCGTTGCTGTGTCTCCGTTCAAAGATCCAGTGGTTTAGGGTTTAGGTGAGGTAAGGACGGCACCACAGCTCGTAGTGCTCTGCATCGAGTGCCCACCCGAACTCGTCGTCGCCAACACCTGTCTAGAAGATGTTGGAACCCACGTTTCACACTCACCACAACCGCAGAAGACGTTCTTCGGAGTAGATTATAGAGTGGGGTTCTTCTGGACTGGAAAACAGTTTAAAGTGCTGGTGCAGATTCTAAAATTCTATACTCGGGAACACCTGTTCCGACCTCAAAGGGACCTATGGGGTCCTGTCAAGGGTTTAGGGTTTTATAGTTTCCAAAAATGAGGGGTACTTTGTCTTGGGGGTCCTTATTACAAGGATCCTACCTACTATTTAGGATAATATATTGGGGCCCCCTATTCTCGGAAACCCCCACGCAAGGAAAAAATACTGTTGAATCGCCGTAGTCCACAGTATCTATCTATCTATCTGCCTACCTACCTCTCTATCTATCATTCTACCTACCATTCTATCCACAATCCATGTAAAGTTAAATGCATGAATATGGGTTGTATAAACAGACAGCCCGGTCTGTTTACTGTTCTCAAGGTTTTCAGCAGCAGATCGGAAGGCTGTGATCTTTGCCGTCACATCACAATGGACCGAAGCCCCGTCAGCCCTAAAGGGCAACAAGCCGAAAATCTTAAAGGGAACTCCAGAAAGTTGGAATATGGATTAATGGTAGGATCCCCTAAAATTAACCTTAAAGGGGTTACGATAATCATATTCCAACTTTCTGGCTTTTACTTTAAACCCTCTGGATGCCCAAAGCTGCCTTTACTCCGTAAGCTTGCAAGCAATGCCTGCAGTGCTCCGCACACCCGGGGTCGCATTGAAGTTCTCCGAAAGAAGTCCAACCTCTGCGCAACATGTGTTGGCCCGAATGTTGTTGTCGCTGCTACTGCTGCTGCTGCTACTACTACTACTACTACTACTACTACTACTACTACTACTACTACTACTACTACTACTACTACTACTACTACTACTACTACTACTACTACTACTACTACTCTTGCTGTTCGCTGTTGCTGTTGCTGTTGATGATGTTGTTGCCGTCGCATTGTCGTGGTTGTGGTTGCGGTAGTTCTGCATATGGTGGTTGTTGTTGATGTTGCTGCTGCTGCTGCTGCTGCTGCTGCTGCTGCTGCTGCTGCTGCTTTCCGAGCGTCGGCGCAATTGCTCGGTGTTGGCGGTGGCAGTTCTGACACAATACTCCTCGTTTGTTTCAGTACCCCAGTCGGACTCTTACGCTTGCCTGTTGGTCTAGACATGTCGGACTTGCTTCCTCTGGGCAACAGGTTCGACTGTCATCCAATACTTCGGTTTGTCGTCCAAAGCGTGCCGCGTGCTCTTGTTCAGTCTCGCTCGTAACTGGCCGAAACCCCGAACCGCAGTTAAACCGGGCACTCTGTCTGAACCTTTGTAACCGACAGCTGCCCCACATCCACGATGACTCAACTGCCGTCTTTAACCTTTCACCTATGGACCAGGGCTGAAGTTGTAGGAAGTCGTGTTTCAAGCTTATAGTATAGTAGCCAAAAAGTTGGAACATTATAATCCTCATTCCTAGATCGTAAACTATAAGGACTAACCATCCCAAACCCATGTTCCAACTTTCTGGGGTTCGCTGTAAGGCTTCAGGGCTTATCGGGCTTTAGGGTTAACAACGACCGGCCGCCCCCAACTCCGTGCACTCCGTCGCAGTTCCAAGCTACGGAGCAGTCTCTAAGCCTTACCGCAAGAAGAACCTCGTCGCTAAAGCGACTACTATAGGGGCCTTAATGATTAGAATAGGGTTTTGGGGCCCATTACACTATATCTATAATAAGGAACCACCCAAAAACAATTAGTAATTATTTAGGCCCCTTGACCTCACATGGCAATGTACGGTAGCTGGTCTCGATTGATCATACAGCGGTATTGTGACCCCAGAGTGGGACCGGAAATCTTCAGAAACGCAAGCCCGCGAGCCTGGGGCGCATAGGTGGTGCCGTAGAGCTCCACCTGCAGGCCCAGCAGAAAAGCGCAAACTTGGGTGGTGTTTCAGGTACCTTGATTGACAAGAGTAAGAGCATGCCGCCGAAACGAACCTCAATTTTCAAAGTGTTCCTAAGCCAAAACAGCCAAGTAGGTCGAACACAGCCCAACGTCAAGGAGACGCGATGCACTTCTTGGGGGATACCCCAAATCATAATAGTGATTAGTTGCTAAATTAAGACTGGAACCCCCACATTCTACTATATAGGTACTTAGGCCCCTTTGGGCGAATAACTGCAATCCCCGAGCCCGACAGCCGCGGACACAGCGGCCTGACATGTCAACGGCTTAGGGCTTCAGGGTTTAGGGTCCGGGCTTGGAGCGACCAATACTAAAGCCAAACTCCGCTGTGTGCATGGCATCTGCGAGGTTTCCGTAAGGGGGGGGGCGGTGATATTACAAGCATGGAGACTAGTGTAGTTATCGGGTAATTCGGGGAAACCCGTAGACGCTTTAAACCGAAAGATCAAAGAGCAAAGCCGTCGCCAATCAGAGTTTTCAACTGCCTCGAACACATATCGTCCGGAACCGCGTTGTGCCAGCGTTGGATAACCAACCGTGATCCTAAGGGTCAAGCAACGCTCCAACGCTCCGTTTCTTGAGACTAGTCATACGAAAACGTAAGCATGAGGTTACTGTCCCTACTTTTCCTTTTGTCATGATGGCAGTGTCGAGGTAAGGCACATGCGTCTATTTAGTTTACATAGCCTGACTTTTGATACATGAATATACATGTACTAGCACACAAGCCTATTCCTGCATCTGCGCATCTTCATGATTTAAGATTAAGGGATGGCCGTCTCTTGTCCAGGAGCAGACTGCAAGCAGTCCGACCGCCGCTAGAGAGTATGCTTAAGGGGTCATTGCACGGTTGAGGGCTTGCGTTCTGGGATTTGGGGCCATTCAGAAACCCGAGGGCTTGCATTCTAGCGTCTTGGGTATATGCAGGCGGGACGCGGGGAAGACTGGTGTGTGTGTGTGTGTGTGTGTGTGTGTGTGTGTGTGTGTGTGTGTGTGTGTGTGTGTGTGTGTGTGTGTGTCAAGAGGATCCTCATATTGGCAGCTTGGGGATCTCGCCGTGTAATCCCTAACGTGAGCTACTGACATAATGCCTGCATGCCTGGATAGTCTATAGATTACAGCCAAACTCTCTCGAAAGCAAGACTGTAATGGTCAGCAATTATATGGGAGTTTCCGACCATAGGGGACCCTAACATACTACCCGTTTTAGTAGGATCCTTATAATAAGGACCCCAAAGTAAGGTACCCCTAATTTTCGGAAACTCCCATATCTGTAGTGCAACAACTTCTCTTGCACAGCAGGAGCCGATACCGCAGCAGCAGCAGCAGTAGCAGGAGCAGGAGCAGGAGCCGTAGCTGTAGCTGTAGCTGCAGTAGCAGTAGCAGTAGTAGCAGTAGCAGTAGCAGTAGCAGTAGCAGCAGCAGCAGCAGCAGCAGCAGCAGCAGCAGAAGCAGTAGCGATAGCAGTAGCAGTAGGAGTAGCAGTAGGAGTAGGAGTAGGAGTAGTAGTAGTAGTAGTAGTTGTTGTTGTTGTTGTTGTTGTTGTTTGTAGTAGTAGCAGCAACAATAGTAGTACGTAGTCGAAATCTTCATGGTTGCACTGGGATTATTAGCAGTATCAATCACGATCATGGTTCCAGGAACCACAAGTTGCGGCAGCATCGTTATACCGTAAACCACTATAATCCTAGACCCTGAATCCGACATTGATATAGGGGCCTTAGTAGTTAGAATAGGGGTTTGCGGGTATATAATACTATATCTTCATAATAAAATCATGAAGAGGAATCCCCACAGTAAGGTATTGGCAATTATTTAGGCCCCTGTACAATCTGCAGCAAGGAGGCCACTCTTTCACGCAGTCCTCCGACTCACCCCTGCTCCAGCGGACGAGTGGGAAGGAGTTGCAAGCTGGCAGGATTGAGTGACATTATTCCTTAGGATTCCTTATCTGCTTGTATAATATAGCAAGGAACCTTAACAGACAATAGATCATAAATACATCCCATACCTTACTGCATAATATAGTAAGGAAGGAATAGTATCACCAATTTCTTGCATAAAAACCCTAAACCCTAAACCCTAAACCCTAAACCCTAAACCCTAAACCCTAAACCGTTTTCTCATGCAGATGAAGCCTGCAGGTTCGGTTCTTCGTCGGCAGCAAGGAACCACGGGTTGAGGGTCAAAGCTTTCCCTAAACCCTAAAGCCCTAAAGCCCAGAACAACCCTAAGCCCCTAAACCCCTAAACCCCTAAACCCTGAACCCCAACCCCTAAACCACCAAACCCCTTCAGCAACCCCGAAACACCTAAACCTTGGGCCCCTAAACCCCTAAACCCTGAACCCAAACCCTCAAACGCAAAACACTAGACCCCTATGCAACCCCGAAACCCCTAAACCTGGGCCCCTAAACCCCTAGACCCTGAACCTTAACCCCTAAACCCATATGTCAAACGGGAAAAGGAGGGACCCTTAATGGGGACCCCTACCCTATAATGGGCTAAATAATGGGTATATAATAGCTATATGAAGGGTATATACCTAGGGGTCCTTATTAAGGGTGCCTCCTTTTACCCTTGGAAGATGTAAACCTTAATGCTTTGGGCTGCAAGCCCCAAAGCTTCAAAATCCCTGAAGCTCCCAAAGCCAAGGTCTCTAAGCTCTCTCCCACAATCCGGTTTAGGGGTCTAGGGATTCATGGGTGTATGGGTTGGGGGGTTTAGGGTTCAGGGGTTTGGAGGTTCAGGGTGAAGGGGTGTAGGGTTTAGACTTTTTTGTGATTTCGAAAAGGCCCACTTGCCCTAAACCCTAAACCGAAGAGTCCCCGAGCATGGCCTCAAAACACTTGGCCATGCGCTCTTGGGGACGTGTCCTGCGAAGAGGCCGACTAGCCCAGGGGAACTGAAAGGGTCCGGACCTTATAATTCGAACCCCATTATACTAGAGTTACAACCCCCAAATGGTATAATGTTAGTTATGTTGGGCCCCGCATTAGGTTTGGGGCGTGTTCGGTTTAGGGTTTAGGGTGTACTTGGAGGGCCAGGGGACTTAGTAAGTCGTTTACAAGTAGAACTACGATTGGTGTATCTCCATTTGGGGTACTTAGAGCTCTACTTCTAACCTACTTACTAAGTCCACTGCCCCCTCCAAGTAAATGCACTGAGCCCCGGGACAAATATGGTAAAATTACACTGCTCACAGACCCACCAAGGGAAAATACAAAATGCCCCTGAACCCTAATTCGTATGCTAAATTTTAAATCTTGAACCTTCAGCCATAACCATCTCGTATCAGACTTATCAAACCCTAAACCCTAAACCCTAATGTCAAGGCCCAATGCTCGGGGATGGGTCTCTCAGGTGCAGCTACAATTTGGGCTGGAGCGCCGTTTTGCTGCAGAGTCCTGGGAGCTTGGGGATTAAGGGTTAGGCTGACACGCCCGTCCTGGAGCCTTGCCGTCGATGCTCGGGAGCGCTGCAACGGCCACGCGGGTGATCTCATTGAGCTCGTCATCGCTGTACTCCTTTAGGGGTTTAGGGTTTAGGGTTTAGGGTATAGGGTTTAGGGTATAGGGTATAGGGTTTAGGAGTTTAGGGTTTAGGGTTGGGGATTATCTCATTGAGCTCGTCATCGCTATACTCCTCGACGCTGCGCCAACAAGCCCTACTGCGAGCTTGGGACAACTCCACAATCCTCAAAGATCCGAACACGCAAGTTCCAGCGACTACTAAGCAAGACCTTTGTCTTGCTAACTTTCTGAAGCCTCGAAGCCCTAAACCCAAAATTCGGTGGACGAACCTTCTGGTTGCAAAACACCACACTCAAACCTGAGACAAAAACAACCACCTACTGATACGGCCTCAACATTTAGCGGTACTTACCCTTGGCTTTTATCGGAAACTTGCAATATCAAACCGGATCCTCCCAGTGCTCAATGCCACACGCACAATTAAGGCCTAAGGACGCGAAAAAGGACCGCAATCTGCAGCAATAGGATTCAGATTTTAGGGTTGAAGGGTTTAGAGGTTCCGTGTTTGAGGTTTTGAATACTACGGCACTGCCATTTTCTGTTATAAGCTCTAAACCCTAATTGTAACCCTGCGGTGTTACACTTCCCAACCTCGAAACACCAACCTCGAAACACAGACCCTGAACCTTAGATGCTAAATCCCTGAACCCCAAGCCCTGAATCCTGAACCACATCCGAGGTGCCTTGAGAACGTGGCCATAGCGGTCGCAAACGCCGAGTCTCGATCCGGCTATGCCGCCTTGGTTTTGGGCTTAGGGCTTAGGGTTTAGGGTTTAGGGTTTTGGGTTTTGGGCTGGCTTAGGCCGGCTTCAATTTTTCAGCTCACATGTTCAAAGAGCTTAGGGCTCGAGGATTGCTGCTTGGCAGTTCGCCATCTGGGGCCATCTATCTGAATGAACAAACTGGGACTCAGATCTATCTCAAAGTTTCAATGCTCGATGCAAAAAAGCAAGACCTTTCGTGGGATGCTTGTGATGGCCATGAAGAGGTGATCTTCCCGGCTCATGCTACCATCCTCGCCAGCAGCACCACCACAATCAACAGAAGCAGCAGCACCGGCTCCGGCAATGGCACCTGCAGCACCACCACCCTAACCCTAATCATCGTCGTTTAAAGAACCATCCGACCATTACCATGATGAGGAGCATCATCATCATGGCTCCCCGTTAAAATCGTTCAAGAGACGTCGGAGTTCAGCTTCAGACTTAGATATTATTCCTCAGGGTCTCCGTCGTAGTAATTTCGATATACCCCAACACCCTATTCTAGCGATTAAGGTTGCTAGGGCTCTTGCCTGAATCCGTCGCACAGAAGGTTGCCCGGAGCCTGGCAGTAGCAAGAGCGCAACAAAGCCACAGAATGACCTGCGAAACTTCTCGTGTGCTAACTGTCACGGCGCATCTGCACCCCACAGTCACAGAAGCTATTGCAGCTAAACCCTTAACCCTAAACCCTACACCCTTAAGGAAGCAGAATCACAGCTGCATTGCTATCCCTGTGAGTGGCCGTGGCGAGGATCTTGCCCGTGCCAGCCTTCGGTCGGCGTCTATGCACATTACCATTATTACTATTAGTATTACCATTATTATTACTATTATTACTAATATTACTACCGAATGACCCTATATACCCTAAACCCTAAGACCAGGACAGATGGAACCATAAGGAATGGGCAGGACCCGCAGGAATGGAAGTTCCCCAAACCGACATTCAAACACCAGGGCCCAAGGGTGCATGTACCCAAATCGTATATACTTTTGCCTTGCGTAACGTAATGTAATTCCTATATAATGGCTTTGGGACCAAAGTGTACACTTTTTGGGGTACATGGACCCTTAGGCCAAGGCCTAAATCCTGGACCATCCATGATACAGATATATCACGTGCACCACGACTGACTTGAGCAAGAAGACAGCCGACGGTGGCAAAGCCCGCAATGGCCAAGCATGTGAAACCTGGCTCATACAAGATGAGCCAGAGCCTGTAAACCTAAGCATGAAGCCTGAAGCTTAAACTCGAAGTAGTAACTGTCGGACTGCTGATCATCGTGAGGGTCTGAAGAACCGTGACATTGCTTTCTGCAGCTCACCACCATAGCTAGTTTGTTCTTGAAACGCCTCCGGAACATTTTCATAACTCTGTGTGGCCAGAAGCGAAACTCAACATGTACAACTAGCTAACGGTCGTAAGTAACGATTGCAGCTGTTACAATACTGTACTTACAGGATCATGGGACTTAGTAACTAGGGGTACAGTTGAGGTAACTATACTTATAAATACTTATCACCCCAAGTAGGTAGGGGACTTGTAACCTTACTTCCTAAGTCCCCTGATCCTCCAAGTAGAAGCTTTCACACTCAAATAGGGATTGATAATTTAATCTGCATTGCAGGGACTATACAGAGATACGAGTTTACTGGAACCGAACATTCAGACACCTGTGTAAACGAAAACGAATGACTAAAACCTAAACCTTTAACCGGACTATGAACTCTTCAGACACCTATACACCATAAACCCTGAACCCAAGCCTGAACCAGGCTTTGCCGAAACCCTAACCCTTAAGCCCTACACCCTGGCCCTTAAACCCTAACCTCCCTACTTGTTAAGGCGTCCTAAATTCCATAAACCTCTAAACCCTTAAACCCTAAACTTCCTACTTCTTAAAACGTCCTAAATTACTAAACCCCATAAACCTCCCAACCCGAAACCTTGAACTTCGCCGGAAGCATTGCGCCTGGAGTCTTTCAGCACGAGGTAAGAATCGCCGTACTGCGATGCTGACGTCACCCCTGGCTCCGGACGTCGGAAGGCTACTACAAGGCCCTTTTCCCTCTAAACCCTAAACCATAACCCTCAACTCTCAACCCTAAACCTCAACCAACCACCCTTAACCCTAAACCCTAAAACCCTACTCCCTAAGCCCAAAACCCTCTACAACGCCTTCTTTTGCGTCGCCGTTTTGCAACTTCAGCTCCAGAGAGCCGATCGGGATCTGGTGAACATTAGTTATGCCTAAGATCCTTACTTGGAGGATCAGGGGACTTAGGAGGTAAGGGTTCTTAAAGGGATTCTTAAAGGGATCTATAGGGTTCCTGAAAGGGATCTATAGAATTCAGGGTTTAGGGAACTACTTGGAGGATCAGCGGACTTACGTAGTATGGTCATAAGTCCCCTAATTGCGGTTATAGGTAACTATAGGTATAGTTATATTTATAACCCAAGTAACTAGCTCCCATGATCCTTTAAGTAGTTGCTGAAGCCCAAACCCCTAGGGTACACTGTTAGTTTTATAGTGGTAAGTATCATCCCCAAAAGTGTAGAGTGTATCCACTCAGCTACTAAGTCTGTACCTGAGAAGAAATCCAGGGTTCGGGGGAGCCGATGTGTGAGGCCTCACAGGGGGCAACTCAAGATCTCCCTTAGGGCGTGGGGAAAATAAGGTTTATGGCATAGAAAGCTCCTCTTGAGGTGTCTGAAAGGTTGTTGAGAAAAAGCTGACTGAACGGTGGCTTCTAGAAGAGCATTTAAGCGCTAAGGTCTCCTAAAGAACGAAACGGCTCCTATGAAGGTTTCTATATAAGGGCTTTAGGGTTCTACAAAGCCTCTTATACAGGATTCTGTCCGGGAATTATGGTTCTACACAGTGACAGGCTCCTAGCACTGGCCTCGGGCCCATGTACCCAAATAGTAGATACTTTGGCTCCAAACTACGTATATAAGAGCTACGTTAAGGCCAAAGTATCTACTGTTTGGGTACATGGACCCTTAGGGTATTAGGGCTTGAGCTTTCTGCAGAGGCTTCTTTACAGGTGTCTATGGGTTTGCACTGATCCGTAGCTCGGACGTCTCAACGTGCAGAATTTTGCAGCCCTTGAGCCCGAAGCCGTAACCAGCCTGGTGACACACACTCGCACACAGAATTCGTCCAGGTTTAGAAACGCCACTCCCAACACCCAACACCCTAAACCCTCAAACCCTAAAGCAACATCACTGATCCGTGGGATACAGGCTTGGCTTGCCGAGTTCGGAGGCGCTAACTACCGCCTCCTTGTCCTTGCGCGCTCCAACATGCTAACCAAACCCTAAACCCCTAAACCCTAAACCCCTAAACCCTGGACCCCTAAACCCTGGACCCCTAAACCCTTTACCACAAAACCCTTAGGGTCAAGCGATATATCACTGGAGATGCCCAAGACACTTAGAACCTGATGAAGTTCTGGGTACCAGATTGCACCTGTTCATGTCCCATGGAGCCGGAATTGGCTAAAGCATCCGCGCCTCTGAAGTCGTTCGTCACGTTCAGGGCTCCATACTTGCACCTGAAAAGCACTGCTAGGCTTCAGGGTTTACGATTTATATACCTTCCCTGGGGATCAAAATAGCCCAAAAGCCTTATATATTATAGTCTCTGGGCCCGAAAGCCTTAATATCTGAGTCCTTAGATCCCTAGGGCTTGACGCCGAAGAACCGACCTTCCGAGGCCGCAAGTATCTGAAGAAGCCGATGTAAGCAACTGCAAGAGAGGTAATTTGGGGGTCAAGGTTACCTTAACCCTGAAGAACCTACCATTTTTAGGGTTCCTTACTATGATTTCCTTATGTAAGCTCCTAAAAAGGTAGGTTCTTCTGGGTTAAGGTAAGGCTATAGACGCTTACGGTCTCAGGTTTCGGAAGGCGGGGCGGCTTTGGGTCTAAGTGCCGTGAGGCTGTAGTTCTGTTTCTTGCACATTAGGAGACGCTACAGGCTGCTAATCGTTGCCTTTGATGTTCTGTTGCTTTCTATACTGAACTTGGAATCCTAGCATAAATTATAATTTTAGCTGTTTCTTAGGGGTTATAATAACCAAAAATTAAAAATTATTCCTAAGTACCCCTAGGCTTTGTCCGGGCCTTTGAAGGAATATCTGCGGCCTTCTAGTCATGGGATGTCTACTGTCTACTTCGTTCTTGGAAGTTAACCTTGGGTCACATGGCGTGGTAGGAACCAGGATGTGCAAACCTCAACTCATCAAGAGGGGGAGCTACGTGGAAGGACATGTTTCTTCACCCTTTAGAGCCTTCTAAAACCCTATGCAGACCCATAAAGCCCCACAAAACCCTAATCTCTACGCACGTCGGGTCGTAAACACAAGGCCCAGAGAAGTGTCCTTCGACGATGGTATAAGAACAGTATAAGCCATTTCTTGACGCTTGCTAAGGATTTTGGCCCAGGTCGGGTTGAAGGATTAGAGTTTAGGATTTATTGAGACGTGTGGAGGCTGAAGATTTTGGACATCTGAGGTTCTAGAAGGGTATTCTAAGGGTGTAGTAGCCAGGCCTTGATAATTAGAAAGGGACTTTGGTGCTATGTTGTAGTACAGGTATATCGGGACTCTCGGGTACTCAGACCAGGATAAAGAGACGGTTGAAGGGAGAATGTCCGGCTGCAGCACCACCCCTCAACACGGAGCCCTGTAAAACAAAACCCCACCCCCCCTCTCCCTTTGATGCTTTAAGACCGAAAAAAATCATACAATTTGGAAAGAAACGCTGAACCCCTAAAAGCGAACCCCCTAAACCCCTGAACCCCTAAATCCTAAACTCCTAAACCCTAAGACCCCAAGCCCGTATACCCTACACCCTCAGCCCCTAAATCCCTAAACCTCAAACCCTAAACCCGAAGCCCAATTCCCCTGAACCTCAAGCCTTTACCCGGAGAAAAAATCCTAAACCCCTAAACCCCCAAGCCCTAAACCTTAAACCGGAGAACAAGTCCTAAACCCCTAAACGTCCTAAACCCCCAGGCCCTAAAACCTGAAACCCCTAGGCCCTAAGCCCTAAACCGGAAACCCCTAAGCCCCAAGCCCTAAACCTCTAAACCTGAAACCCCTGAGCCCGAAGCACTAAGCCCCTAAGCCCAACGCCCTAAACCCCTAAACCCCAAACCTTAGACCCCTAATCCCTAAACCCCAAACCTTAGACCCCTAAAGCTGAGCTTCGCGCCGATCGAAGGGCTTTGCGTCGTTGTAAGAGTCGCCAAACCTGGGCTTGGGGGTTCGGGTTTCAGGAGGTTATAGGGCTTTCGGGGTTTAGGGTTTGGGGTTTAGGGATTTAGGGTTTAGGGTTTGGGGTGCAGGCATTTAGGTATTTAGGGTTTGGGGTAGGAAGGGGTTTAGGGTATAGAGTTTAGGGTTCACGGTTTGGGGTGCACGGTTCAGGCTTTAGGGCTTGGGGGTTACTTCAGGGTCGAATGTTAAGGGCTAGAGTTTAGGGATTGAGGATGTGGGGGTCTAAGGCTTCGGCTTCAGTGTTTGGGGGTTTAGGGTTTAGGGTTTAGGGTTTAGGGTTTAGGGTTTGGGGCGGGCATAGTATGTAGCTTGACTTATAGGATCCTTAAGGGGGGGTGGTTCAAGGGGGGAGGGTACTAGGGAGCTTTGGGGAACCTTAGGGAAGCTTAGGGAGTATTGGGGAATAATGGGGATTACTAGGTTACCTACCCCCCTTGGACCACCCCCCCTTAAGGACATCCTAATTGACGGCTGAAGGTTCAGGGTTTAGCTTGTTGAGCTCAGTGACATTTGTGCTAAGCTGCTTCGAGTAGTTCCAACGTATGTTAGCAATGACGAGAAAACAAAGATCTGCTGTACTCTCCTCTTAAAACCGCTCGAGAAGTCAGGGAAATTGAAAACAGGGAAGGATATTGCTACCTTAGGTGTTGTTTGTTCGCTCATCAACAGGTGACGACTCTGAGAAGACTCACGAAAGCCTGCATCCTGTTCCGATCTGTCGTGCCTAGCAACCTTTGTCGGTGAAGTCTTGTGAAGCTTCCAGTGATTAGGAGTCAAGGTTTATTTGGGCACTAAGCAGAGGGTCTGTTTACTTGTTACGCCATGCCGTCGACAACAACCAGACGTCTGGCAGGCTGTGGCTATGGGGCGCCTGTCAGATTCCATGCGAAGATATCTGCGCAGCATGTCTCCATGTATGAGTAAGTGACGTCCATGTCTATACTGGATGATGCGCTGCGGGTTCATCGGCTGTACGCATCGTCTGGCCGGAATGCAACCCATCTTTCTATCAACAGAAGCAGATTTCAAATCGGTCGGCTGGTACAGCCGCAAGGGGATGCAGTATGCGGTGGCAGCACACTGTTTGGCCATGGCCTTTGTGTCGATTTCTACTCGAGGATTGTCTCCTCAAGTTCTATTTGTAGCTCGCCATGATAGAATTGCAGGGTGCCAGGTTGCTGCTAATTCACAACCTTTCAATGGCACTGCAAAATGTAACGGCAGTATGTTGCTCTGATGATTCATTATGTACAGCCGTATGTTTCGTGAGATGTCAACGTTGGGCTGCTGGTGTGTTGTACCATGCAGTGTTACACCAATATGCTGCTGTTGTACTGCATTGGCCGGGGATTTGGTGCGCACCTGGTCGTTACAACTTTGCAATAGTCGGAACATCAGAGTATCGTCCAACATCAAACGCACGTTTGTAGTAAGCCAAAAGTGAGCCTCATTGCCAGCCCGGTAGCAATGCTTGTTCCCAGCCTGTCCTGAGGGGAATTCGGGTCAGGTGCTCAGGGTGCCGAATTACGTTTTGCGATTTCAAAAAGCCGGAAAACCCCAATTATAAAACCCAACCGAAACCCCAAATCCTTAACCCCAAACGTCGGATCCTCAACCCTAAAAAGAGCCGAAAGTACCATAAAGGCCCTAAGCCACGCGCTCCGACAAGGAGTTGCAAAGTTGGGGGTTGCCATGAGCTCTGCGATCGGGTTAGGCTACCAGAGAATAGAGTTTAGAGTTTAGGGTAATATAGGGGCCTAAACCGCTTCCCCCTAACAGTTAAAACCCCACCTAATATAAAAACTCCCGGCCCCCGGAATTTCGCGGTTTCGGGTCCCACATTCAATTTAAAAGGGACAATATTTGGGGGGGGCCAGATCTGTATGTGTTTTAATTGAACGGGTTTAAGGGTTTAGGGCTCAGGGCTAAAGCTTTAGGGCTTGGGGCTCGGGGGCTTAAAGTTTAGGGCTTAGGGCTTTATAGAGCCAAAGATTACAGCTGCACTGAAGACAGTAGAGCATTAGGGTTTAAGGGTTTAGGGCTCAGGGCTTTAAGGCTTTAGGGTTTGGGGCTCGAGGTTTAGGGCTTAGGGCTTCAGTAGGGCCTCAGGGCTCCAGGCTTAGGATAGCTAGCAGCTGGGAGTCCGAGTGCGTGGATGCACCGAACCCCCCCCCCCTAATGTAAACACTAAACCTGAGAATTCCGGCTTTTATATTAGGGAGGGGGGGGGCTTTAATATTAGGGGGAAGGGATTAACCGATTAACCATTAGAAGAGGGTTTTGGGTGGTATACTATAGCATAATTCATTCTGGTAAGGAGCCCCCCGAATAGTATTGGTAGTTATTTAAGACGCTATATCACCGGAGTGTGGAGTTTAGGGGACTCTGCTTTCCGGGGTCGGCAAATGTAAGCTTTTGCTTCGGGTTCAGGGCTTAGGGGTTTCCAGACAGATTCGGGGTTAAGGGGTTCAGGGCTTAGGGATTTCCAGAAAGATTCGGGGTTAAGGGGTTCAGGGCCGGCTACACATAGGTTAGAGGTTGCGGATTGCTTCTGCAACTCCTTCCCTCACTCAAAGCTAGAAGCCATCGCACTCCGACACTGAAATGCCCATGCACCCTGTTCAGAACCCGGGCAAAGTGCGAAAAGAATAGGCAGCGTCCTCGTCGAGTTTTCAGGATCCAATGCCCCGCACGACGTCTTGGTCTCAAACTGGTTGCGGTAGAACCTCCCCAAAACACCACATTGAGGCACCAATACAGGCAACAATATCACCTAGCACGGCCGAACCAGCAACGATCACTGGAGTCATACTCTTAATCGTCATTATCAACATCATCACATCATCATCGCCATGACCATCAGCACTAGCACCAGCACGAGCGGGAGTAGGAGTAGCTCACCAACACTGCAAGCAAGAGCATCGTCGACCGATGCTCTCCAAGACATTGCTACTGTAGCCTTCAGACTTCAGCGACAGCAAGGATTGTGTTGATAGCGCCATGAAGAATCATCAAAGCATACCGTGACGAGTCTTACGAACCGCCAACTGCCGCCAACATGAATATGAACACACCAACTCCTGCCATCATGACCTGAGCCGTCTCGAGTTGTCATCAACCACCTTTGCCGCACCCTCGCTGTCACCCTCATCTTCAACATGAAAACAGCAGCATTGGCATCATCAGCGTCGTCATCATCATCGGTCCTCATCATCATCCTCAACAGCAGCATCATCACCACTATCATCATCACCATCATCATGACCATGGAGCATGACCGTCATCATCCTCCTCATCGTGGGCATGACCCTCGTCATCTTCATCGTCGCCACTATCGTCATCGGCATCATCATCGTCATCAGCGCCACCATGACCACCATGATCGGCATGTTCATCATCATTCATCATCATCTTGATAGTATGGGCTTTCCGTCCGGGTCACCATCATCTTCAGTAGCATCTATTTCTCCGTCCTGATCAAAGTCACACTGGCTCTCTCTTTTCGGTGACTGTGTCCAATCTGCCTGTTTACCTCGGGATTATGCAGAACTTGAACCCATGATATGTATTCATGCAGACAGATGCACTTGACACATAGATGGGAATTTTCTTCGAGCATGACCCTTGCCCCTCCAATCTACCGTGGGCGAACCACAAGGTGTAAAGAGCAGACCAACAAAGGCACGCAAGCCCAGACCCATGTTTTTCTTTTTTGACTCCTTTTTCCTAACTGCTGCTCCAGGCTGCCGTCAGACCCATGTTTTCTTTTTTTTTTTTAAGGGCCTCTTTTCGATCTGCAGGAAGCGTCTCAAAAGCCCATTTCAGACCCATGTTTAAGGTTTAGGGTTTAGGACCTGCAAAGCCTTGTACTCTGTTGCAGCCTGTAGAGCTGAGCACAACAAAATCTATTTGAGCCTGGAGGATGTATCCCTCTATAGACCCGGCCTGGACCCTAAGGAACCTACCTTTTGAGGGTTCCTGAATATGATTTCTTTATATAAGTCCTTAAAAGGGTAGGTTACGTGGGGTTAAGGTAGGGGCCTTCTTGGACATCCAAGCAACTTGACGGTTCAAGTCTTCCAGGAACCCAGGAACTCGCAAACACCCCCACTTCCCTGGCCAAGATTCAGATCTGAAAGTCAAAGGGGCCCTTGTGGAATTGGTCCGAAACCCTTTACAAAGCTTAACTCATAATAAGGAATTGACTTAAACTGAAACAACCACACCCCCCTCCCTGGCCAAGACTAAGATGCCCACTCATCATCTGAAAGTCTAAGGGACCCTTTCCGCAAGGATCCCCTGAACCCTAAACCTGAAACTGAAACAACCACAGACAGGTCAGGCAAGCTGCTCATCTGATTCCAGAAACTGGCCCATCCTCCCGAAGCTCAGGGGTTTTGCTGTACGGTTTAGGGTGTAAGGAGCAGGGTCGAAACCGGGCACCCTACCCCCAAAAATCACAAGTGAACCTGAAAAGCATGTGTCAACAACGAGGAAGTTCATAACAGCATATGGAGCAACAACGACAGAATAACAATGACTGTGACTAGACTATCGACTGTTGACTTGACTATCAAGCTGCAAGCGCTACGTCCACCCACTTTCCGGGAAATGCCCCTACGACCTACGATCATCCCCGCCTTACTAAAACCCATTTCGAACCAGTGGAGTGTAAGCGCCAAACAAGAGCAGGAGCAAGAGCCGCAGCAGGAGCTGGAGCAGCAGCAAGAGCCAGAGCAGGAGCAAGATCCTCCCCAATGAAACAGTTGAGATAAAGACACCCCCTAGTAATCAACACGCTTCTGAAGCTTCTATTTGGGAGGAGCCCTCCACGAATAGTGTATGGGATGGCATTACTGCTGGTCCGACTACTTCCCATTGATACTTCCACTACGACGTGAACGATGGCTTCCAAGTCAAAAGCAGCCGCTTTCCGAAAAAAAAACATAGAAACGCAAGGCTGCAATACAGTAGCCTGAATAATTCGAACAGGGTTGTGGGGCCCATTATACTGTATTTATGATAATAAGGAACACCCAACATACTGTTGGCAATTATTTAAGGTAAAAGCCAGAAAGTTGGAATATGATTATCCTAACCCTTCTATGGCAAATTATAGGGTATCCTACCCTGAAACCATATTCCAACTTTCTGGAGTTCCCTTTAGGCCCCTATAGTGGTCATACAGGAAACTAGAAGATCAGGTTTCTCAATGATGGCTGTATGAAAGATTTTGGGCATTAGGTCAGGGGTTTAGGGTTTAGGGTTTAGGGTTTAGGGTTTAGGGTTTAGGGTTTAGGGTTTAGGGTTTAGGGTTTAGGGCCCGGGCCTGTCAAGGTGAACATGGACGACCAACCTCAGTTTCGAACAGTTTGTGTTTCGTGGCTAAGGCGAAGGGCATCTGATTCCAGACCAAGCGCATCATTAGTACCCCCTAACCCTCAAACTCAAACCCTATAACCCTCAAACTCAAACCCTAGAACCCGAGACCCCAATGAAACCGTCAATACGGCTTCCCGCTTCGCAAGCTGTCCCCATCCCTCGGTGGATGGTGGCGACCTAAGGTAAAAGCCAGAAAGTTGGAATATGATTATCCTAACCCTGGGTAAATTATAGGGTATCCTACCATGAAACCATATTCCAACTTTCTGGAGTTCCCTGTAGTTCGAACCCATGACAACCTCAGTCGGTTTGGCGTTTAATTACAGATCCGAAACGATCCTGCCGTAATGATCGGGATATCAATGGCCAATCAGCGGCAAGCCCTCCACAACTCAAACCGTTAAACCCGTAAGACCAAAGCCATAGAAAGCTGAGCACTGAAACCCTGAACTCTGAACCCGACAAGCTCACCAAGAACTCTAGGACACTCGTGACAGGAGATTGGTTTAGGCCTAAACCCGAATCCCTACTCTTGTCGACCCCGAGTAGCGGTGCCAAATCGCGGACCCAGCTGAAGACAGCTTGCAGCTCGTAGTCGCCTCAGGTTTGGAGTGTCGGGTTTGGGGTATTGGGGTTCAACTCGCTGTGCAACTTCCGCTCGGTGCAAAGGTAACACGCCGAGACGTATACCCAAGCCCGAAACCAGCGAACAACTAGGTATGGGCTGGGCGAAACACGCTACCCCCCCCCCCTAAACCCTAAACCCTAACCCCCGCCCCCCATTTCCGTCCCCCAGCCCAAACTGCCTCGCCTGCCCCCTCTTACTTGCACTGCAAGCTGCATGTGACGTACACCTACACATGAGTATGCCTGTACACATGCAAACACCCCCCCGCCCCCTACATGCATGGCTACATGACATAACTCAACATAACATAATGTTGTAAGATATAACTTAAGTAACTCAACGCAACATAATGTACCATAACATTGTAAAAGCATAACATGACATGGCATAACATGCACAGCCTTCGTGACATGCCGTCAGACAGACAGACAGACAGACAGACAGACAGACAGACAGGCAGACAAACATACACATGGGCATACAGACATGCGGAAAGAAATGCGTACATTCACATACATACGTGAAGACATACATGCGGCGTTACATGCGTACACACATACGCACATATAAACACGCATACATACATGCACGGGCACAGATACGGATATCTGGTGTTTCTGGGTGTGCTCTTATCTCTCTTTGATGTCCGTTTTAGGCCTCGTGTCTTGGCGGGGGGCCTAAATCCTAAACCCTAAACCCCTAAACCCTAAACCCCTAAACCCCTAAACCTTAAACCCTAAACCTGTTTCAGGATTTGGAAGATGAGGCCGAGGACGAAGGATCGGTTTCCCTCCATCCAGAACATGGGAGTTTCCGAAAATAGGGGACCCTTTGGGCCTTTTTGAGGGATCTATAAGGGTTCTAAAAGGGTTTAGGGGGTTTAGGGGTCCATCTGGGAGTTTCCGGAAATAGGGGACCCTCCTCTAGTACCCTGAATAGTAGGATCTTATAATGAGCCCGAAAAGAAGGTACCCCCAATTCTCGGAAACTCCCACATAATCGGACTCTCGAGGGCTCCCGGCCCAGCCCTAAGCTGCTCGATGTCCACTTACCCAGAGACTCCAATATTCCTTAATTAGGGAATATACCTTAAATTATAGTAGGATCCTTATATGGATTTAAGGTATATTCCCTAATTAAGGAATATTGGAGTCTCTGGGTAGCTTGAAAACGAGCATCCTGTCGTTTTGTAAGCAATCATGAAATCAGGACATGAGCCCATGACCCTGTCACCCTGAACCCGAAATCCAGCATCCGCCCCCAGAAAACCCTACACCACCCCCCTAAACCCTACCCTAAGGCCCCAAAGTAGTTCCTTTTGGGGCTCGTATATAGAATCCTATAAGGTAATCCCAAAAAGGAACTACTTTGGGGCCTATAGGTAAACCTGTGAGGGTTTCGGTCCACCTTAAATCCAGCCGTGGCACCGTAGCCGAGGGCCGTGAATTTTTCCCGAAGCTCAGGCAGGGCATTCCTAGCCAGAGCGGGGAGCAAAGGGTTTAGGATTGTAGGGGTTTAGGGTTCGGGGTTGAAGGTTCAGGGGCTTAGGGTTTGGGGTTCAGGTTTGGGAGCTCAGGGTATTTTGATGGTCTTACGGTTGTTTAGGGTTTCAGGGTTACGTTAATGAGCATGCAAGTCCGGATGAGCAGTGGCCGTCGTTAGATTGACGGTGGACAGTGTGATAGCGTCTTCTTGGGGCCAAGCTTGGAAACCATAATCGCCGTCATCACTGCTGGTGCATTGGCTCTACTGATGGAGAAGGACAACTCAATGACTCTTTTCCTGAGCATGTACCTTTCAAACGAAAGGCAGCGGAAGACCCGCCAGTTAACCTTACACATTACCAAGAAAATATCCGACTATTCATAATCCTGACATTCCTAAACTTGGCTTGCTGCGCTGAGAGTAGGGACCCAGAAAAGCACATAAGCATAAGCCTTTTATGGGGATATCCCTACCTTATTGGGCTTCAATATAAGGGGGTTATATGGGATATCCCTAACCTTATTTTTGCTTATGTGCTTTTTGGGGGGCCCAAGTGAGGGAATCCATCCGAGTCTCTCGTGGCTGGCGGAAGCCTGGCGGGAGGTTCTGAGGCTTAGCAGCAGTTCTTCAATAAGCTACCAAGATGGGTGTACTCTAATGGAGGGTTTAGGGGCTAGGTATTTCGGGGTCCCTAAACCCTAAACCCTAAACCCCTAAACCCCTAAACCCCTAAACCCTAAAGGTTCCTATGTAAGGAGCCTATGAAAGCTGTAACGAAGGTTTAGGGCCATAGTGGTTTAGCCAGTTTAGGGCTCCAGGGTTCGGGGGTTTCGGCATGTAAGGTCTTGGAGTTTAGGGTTTAGGGTTTAGGGATTTCTGGTGTAACTTCTTTTGGGGCGGCTTCTTTGGGGCTTACGACAATCTTAGCAGTTAGCTGGCTAAATCCCAGGTCCGGGTGCGGGTGTAAGGGTTCGGGGCACAAGGGAGCTTTGCGGGGTTTGGGGTGCAGGATGTTGAGTTTGAGGGTTGGCAGGGTTTGAGGGTTCTGGGGTTTCGGGCTTTGGTTCTGAGGTTTAGGGTTTAGGCTTCGGGTGTACTTGAAGGCTCATGGGACTTAGTAAGTAAGGTTATAAGTAGGTTATAATTAGGATAACCCCACTTAGGGGACATATAACCCCAATTATAACCTACTTACTAAGTCTCATGATCCTCTAAGTAGGGGGTCTCAGACTGGGGCCATGGCTTCAGAGTTTCAGGCTTCAAGAGCGACTCTTGTTGCAGATTTCCGCCCAAAGGAACTTGCTCTGGTTCTGCCTCTTCGGCTTCCTAAACCCTAAACCCCTAAACCCCACAGACCCCTAAACCCTAAACCCTCACATCTTCTTGCTTAAGGAGTCTCAAGCCTAGAAGAGACAAGCACCTCTTAAACCACAGCATTCTAAAGCACCGAACCCATAAATCCTAAACGTTTAACCCCTAAACCAGAAACCGCTACACAGCTCTGAAGCACTAAAATCCTAAAAAACCCACTACATCATATAATCCGCAAACCCAAAAACCGCATACGCTAAACTGAAAAGTCCTATAAACCCCAAAAAGGTCCTAAACCCGATAGACCACGTTAGCTCGTCGCGGTGTCGGGATCCCGAGCTTCTCCAGGCTTTGCGGATATGGTTTAGGCTTTAGGGTTTAAGGTTTAGGGTTTAAGGTTTAGGGTTTAATTAGGCTTTTCAGGTTTAGGGTTTAGGGGTTTAACTAACGCATGGGGACTTTGTAATTGAAAATGACTTGGGATTGTTCGTATCGCCATTAGAAGGAAATCTAGGGAATCTCTACCGGTTGTTATTCAGGTTTCTGTATTGCTTGGCTTTGGGCCGTTCAGGGAATGGCTAGTGAGTGTGAGAGCATTCGGCAGGGAGTGTGACTCTAGCATTCTGGGGAGCTGAATGGACACAAGGAGTCACAGACAAGGGCCTCAATAGTTAAACTAGATTTTTCGGGTGGTATAGCACTTATACAGGGGCTTTAGGGGAATATTAGTTATTCAGACTTCAACCATACCCTGTCAGAGGTGGCTATGCGTGAGGGTGCCTGTTTGAGGTTCAATTATATCTGTACCTGATGCCGCCAACCCTGAATAGGAACTGTCATGTCCTGGACCCTGAACCCTCATCATACCCTCAACTCTATGCCCGTTCTCAAAATTTAGGTCCCCCCAAAATAGTGCGGCACCCCTAAAACAACGACCCTGAACAGGACCCTCATTTAGAGAACTACCTTTACAGGACCCTTATAGCAACCCTTACAGACCCCTTGTAAGGAGCCCCAAAAGACCTTGATTTAGAGAACTAACCTTCTAGTACCCTTATAGCCACCGTTATACACCCGTTTTAGGAACCCCAAAAAGGAGACCCCAATTTAGAATACTACTCTTATATTAATTGTCGCGAGCCTTGTTTCGGTTGCGGTTTGGGACCTGCTTACCTTACCATAGGATTTTGCAGGTGAAAAATCGACTAAAGCCGAAAATGCATGTGAAAATTTTCCAAAATGTTTATCGAAAAACTAAAATGCGATAATTCGGGTGCCCCCCGGCGGGGTGCTATAGACTTCCCCGCCTGCCCCGGCCCACCAGACAATGCACAACCAGCAGCAAAGCACAATACATGGCAGCTCCAACCGTCCAGTGACAAAACATTACATCATGCCCATCATGGAATTAGAATTACTGGGGCAGGGAGTGTACGAAGGCCAGCTCGCCTGCTACATTGCGCTGAGTTTTGAATGCAGCACCTTGCCAATTCTAGCTCCGCACATTTCCCTGGGCAAGTTTCTTGTCCTGCCCTTGCCCGGAGCCCCCCCCCCCCATGAACGCAACACACAAGCCGAACAATGCACAACAGCTACAACTGCAGTTACGACGTACAACCGCCAGTGTGCAACATGTGACAGCCAGCCGATGGCGATGTGACCTGGGCACACAGGCAGTCGCAGGCAGCACTCAGAACAGGAGCCGAACACGAATTTCCAACTGTGCAACTGTGGTGCTGCATTGACAGTCAGACGGTCAGACGTCATATCTTTTTCCCAAGCCCTAGCGTATCGAGTCGATCACCGCCGTCGTTTATGCGGGCGCTCTTCGGCATCCGAACCACTCTCATCAGAGGCGGCGTCTGAGTCATCCTCGTACTCCCGGTCAGTAGCCACATTTTGCAATAACCTTGGAGTCTTGAATCAACACGGTCAATGCTTAATGTGAGTTCAACATATACTGTATGAGTATGCATGGCACCATGCACAATTGTCAACATCGACAAATGTCCAGTCCAAGCATCATTCTTCCAGGAGGCTTTGCTGTATTGTCAATGCCAATGCCATCGCCACCATCACTGCGGCCACTGCAACTCCCCATTTTGTGCATTGCCCGGCCCAAGCACTCGAGGATGTCGTCGGCCGTAGTGATAGTGGCAACACCGGCTTGACAAA